CTACCTGAACTGGTTTCTTTAAAAGTTACTTCTGACCTGAATAATGTCGGGTAACACTGCATGATGAAATGTTGATGCTATAACACTAAACCACCACAAGAGGGCAGGTTTGTCTCATAAGTACAAGGACTCCGCATGGGGAAATGGATAGAACCAGTACATCTGAATACTGTATCTTACACCTCTATGCTTCACACAGTCTTAAACAAACAAATTGATTTAATTTTATTTAATTACATTGTATGTAGTTTTATGTGTTGATTAAAACATGACGGGGGATTTGCGTCCCTTCATCTCAGTGTTGATCCGCACGCTGCAGGGTGGATCAGCACCATGGACAGAGACACAATTCAGCACCAAGAACAGCTCCTTTAAACTGAGCTTGGTCTCCGACTCATTTCGTCATCAGGATGCAGCTGGTTTGTCACAATGCCTTGACCTACAAATTCCTGCAATAAAACACGTCTCTCTTTTCCATCTCTATCTTTTTCTAGGTCACCTTCTTGCAGAGGATGACGCATTCTGTTCAGGGATGAAACCACAGCCTGCCCACTCATATGTGGGATTTCCTTCGAATTCAGAGGGAGCTGCATGGGGGAAGAAGCGGGATTTCGTAATCATTTGCCCTTTACATCGAGGATTGCATCACTGTGTGAACGTCAGACTAAGAGATTAAAAAAAGGGGGAGGAGGGCGGAAGAAGGGGGCGTTTAACTCTTATTCCTCAAGCTAACCAAACAACCACCGAATCGTAGAACTCGTAGTACCAGCATTTGAAAGGGTCTGTCTGGAACAAATAGCATTTCACTGGATTATTTATTTTATTGCTGAATGTTAGCAGTTTTCAATGCAGACTGGAGTGACAGTAAAGCACAGCTTGGTGCAGCTGCACTACACATGTGCTTCCTCTACAGCATGGTTACATCAGGTAACAAACCACTATTTTGGCTCAAACACATTCCCTTTAAATATTTTCAAGTAAAAATGTCACATTAAAAGTCTGATGATAATTCTGTGACCAATGAAATGTGAGTATGGACAGCATGTGACCTTTTGGCCTAGCTGGAGCCATCCTGTTTGAGATCATAGTTAGCTTGACCACACACTCGCAGAAAGTGGGATACATTTGACTTTTCAGCATGTTTGAATTTAAATAACTTTGTACAAAAAGTATCTGTGATTTGTTTGAATATGTGCAAAAGCATATTCTTCTATACATAAATTGTAGTTTTTTGTTTGATACCTCAGGGTAACATTGACTGTGGACTTTAGTTTGATCAGTAACATGCCCATAGATGAGGTTGAGCAGAAATGAATGATTATTGCCCAAATATGTTTGTTTGTTTTTACAGTATTATACACTATTCCTCAGAGGAAATAGATGCATAAACAAATTATGAGTGCAAGGAATTTCTTTGAGTAGTGAATTTTGGACCTTAATTATTGGTATTTTTACACCTCCCTGTTATTTTTTATACTCTCTATTTTTTATAAATATGTCTTGTGTGGTTCCTTGAGCATGTTCCTTTGTATTGATACTCTGGCAGGACAATTTCCTGTGGGATCAATAAAGTTCTTATCTTTTCTTATCTTAATTCCTTCTCACGGTGAGGAAGAGTAGACCTCAGAATCAGATTTGAGGGAGAGTTTGAAGGTCAGGGTTCAGTCAGGGTTCAGTCAACAGTGTAACATGCTGTATGTGATAAACATGTGTGTGTGTAGGGTGTGTGTGTGTGGAGGGGGGGGGGGCATCAGCAGGGGCAGTATATGACCTATTCTAACTTTGTGCTTTTTGATTTCTTTTTAAAAACTGATGGCCTGTCTGAGTCTGATGGATAAAGAAGAGAGTAAAGATGATGCTCATGATAATTTATCAAAGAAGAGGTTCCACCTTCACCTAGGTGGAGAACACCCCACATTTCCAACATCAATGATTACCAAGAATAGCAGGCCTGCCTTCAAAAAGCAGACAATGTCATGTCCCCCATGAATATTTCAAGGTTTTGTTTTGTTGGTTTTTTTTGTTTGTTTCTTTAGTTCTGGAAGTAGTTGTAGAGCAGTAAAATGTATATGCCAGTCAGTGTGACATCATCAAAGCCCCTCGAACTCATTACTAATGAACTGGGGCAGTTCACGGGTACAGCATGGGTGCATGTCACCGTTTGGATTACCATACACATGTTTTGTAACAAAGTCGCCCAAGTGTTCCAGGTAGCTGACACCATATCACTGAACAGATGGGAGTTATTAAAAAAAAAATCTCTGCACTTCAACAACAATCAAATGAAACAACAACCCAGAAACCAGAGTGGCGACTGAGCAAGAAGACCACAATGCCCCACTCCACAACATTTGACCATTAGTCACTCATCTTGTCTCAAAGCTGCAGACAATCCCAATGGGTGAGAAGCTAGATGGAGATGAGCAGATGGTCCCTTTCAAGAGAATAAATAGGCTCAGACAATACCTACCAGTAAGACCAAAGAAATGGGGCAAGAAGATACTCATCCTGACTGGCTCCGATGGTGTTCCACACAAATTTGAGATCCATGCAGAGAAAACTGAGCAACTTCCTGAGCTTCCAGATGTAGGTGCAAGTGGCACCCTTGTTCTCCGCCTTGCCTTGGCAGTACCCATTCAGCAAAACTACATTTTCTCTGACATCTGGTTCACTGGTGTCACTCTCATACACACTTGTTTAGCAGGAAATGCACTATACTGGGACCGTTGGAGCAACAGACCACCAGGTGTCAGCTTTATGTGTGAGGCTGACTTGAAGAGAACTGGGCATGACTCTTTTGAACAGAAGACATCCATTGTTGGAGAAAACGCCTTGTATGCAGTGAAGTGGTATGATAACCGTTCAGTCAATCTCCTCAGCAATTACATTGGCGCACACCCAGTCACTGAGGTTGATAGGTGGGATGGTAAGAACAAGAAAAATATCTAAGTCACCTGTCCAGCTGTGATCAGAGAGTACAATAAAAATAATGGGTGGGGTGGATCTGCTAGACTCTGTCATTGCACTGTATCACAACAAAATCAGGTCAAAGAAGTGGTACCAACGGATGATGTTCCACTTCATCAACATTATCCCTGTGATTGCCTGAGTGCTCTACGAGAGAGATGGCAGCAACACTGGGATGAGAAAAAGGAATAAATGAAGCTTTATATGTTCAAGTCGTACATTTCAGAAAGCTTGTGGTGCACATGTTTTTGTGTCTGGTCTTACCAGACCAGTAGCTCATACTTTGCTCTCCTGGTATTTCAATGCCTCATTCAGGTATTTACCCATTTGCCTATTCATCTTACAAGTGTCAAGAATGTGGAGCATAAGGGAGGTCATCCAAGTTCCACAGTTGCTGAGGAGTATGAAGAAAAGAGGAGAAGAGGCCCCACTACACCCATTCCAGTCTCTGATGTGCATCTGGATGTCACAGTCAATTGGATGAAAATGGATGAAAAGAAAGGGAGATGCAAGGTACCAGGATGCAAAGGTACACCTAAAGCTAAGTGACAAAAATATGGTGTCCACCTGTGCTTCACATCCACCAATAACTGCTTCATGTGGTTCCATGCAGAATAATACAGACTACTTTGTGAATGAGAAAAATACAATTTCAGTCGACACCGCACAGGAACACACACTCAGAAACTCACATGCACTCTGCAGCTAATGTCGTACCCACTGATCGAGAATCAACTTATGTTGTTTTGTGAGAGCAAAAACAAATTTGTTGAAATTGTTCCTATTTAAATAAACCATCCCTTAATACATTTACTACTTGTTTGTGCCATCTTGAAATGGGTTGAATTCAGAAAATATTGATTTCAGAAATCTTCATTAAGTCCTTTGGTTCATGTGATTTTTTTTATTTTTATAACAGGCAGACATGAACGATGCAGTTCAAATCAAATATGTTGTACAACATGTAGCGCTCAGACTATGTGCTGGGGATGACTCGAGCGCTTCGGAAGCGGGTGATGACTCTCTGTTACTATCACACCAAATATTAGCAAAATACAGTATTTGTAAAAATAGCCTGAGCTAAAGCAGTTTTGCATTTCCTAAAGTTAATTAGATGTGGCAGCCATCTTGAATTGACTTCGCTTCAAAAGTAGATTTTTTTTTATTTTATTTTTTTAACATAAAATGGCTAAGATGTTCCGGCAGCATGGTGGCACAACTGGTAGAGCTGCTGCCTCTCAGCGAGCAGGTCCCTGCTTCAAATCCTGGTCCGGGGGCCTTTCTGGGTGGAGTTTGCATGTTCTCTCCGTGCATGTGTGGTTTCCTCCCACAGACCAAAAACATGCATGTTAGGCTGATTGGTAACTCTAAATTGTCTCTAGGTGTGAGTGAGAGAGTGCATGGTTGTTTGTCTTGTTTGTCTCTATGTGTCCCTGTAATGGACTGGAGACCTGTCCAGGGTGTCCCCCGCCCCACGCACATTGATTGCTGGACATGGGCACTGGCGACCCCTGTGACCCAAAATGGAAGAAGCTGGTATAAGATAATGGATGATTAAGATGTTCCTTCAAATCCAATCAGTCAGTCATGGGATATTTTGCTTATTTGACCTATGGAGACACACAGACAGACAGCCTTCATTTGCAGGCGATAATAACAACAATGATCTGACAGTAAAGCTTTTTCAAAATATATAATTCATAACATTTTTATGCATGAGTCAATTTGCAGCAACCCACTTTGGTTGTGGCTCCACTCAGACTAGTCACTAACTCGTCAGTATTGGTCAAAATTAAACTACTTATCCAGTCTCTTGTCGTTCAGCTATCTGGAGCAGGTAAGACGTTAAATGTTCATAACCTTTCTACAGAACTCCACTTTAAAATGTCAGAACTATCCCTTTAAGGACTAAAAACAACTAGTGCGACGGAAAAGGGACCAGACGTCGTTTAATAATTGATTTTCCTTGCTGTAACATTTGTGGTGATCGATAGTGAAAGGAGTCAAAGGGAGAACGTGAGGGGGTGGGCGTGAGGGGGGGAGCGTGTGTGAGGAAGAGGAAGAGGAGGAGGAGGGATACGTGATATTCTCCGCCGCACCGTGAAGTGGGCCGTCCCTGTTCGTGGAGATCTGCCCGAGGAAGGCCCACCTATCCAGCTCAGCTGAACACTGCTCCGGTTCAGACCGTGTAGTTCGAGTCGAGCGCGCAGGAAGAACCGTCGGGGACCAGTCGGAGGCTGTTAGGACACAGGTAAGGGGGGGGGGGGGGGGGGAGATCAAATACAACTACATCATTAACCTTTCAGTCCATGTCGGTATGAATGGAGGTCATACCTGTGCATGCGAGAAGGTGCTGGTTTTGAATCGATAAGGTAAGAATAAAAATTTAAAAAAGGAGAATAAACCAGAGTCAGTCGGTGCTTCAAGATGAGCTGCGCGTGCTGGATGTGCAGGACTTGACCTGCACCATCCGGGATGGGACTCTGATGGATGATCACTCTCCGTGCTGCAGCTTTTCCTCCATTCATTTCATAACACGTCCTCCTCGGTCACTCTGGTGTAGCAGATATAAATTGACATGTAATCCTCACCGATATGGTTTCGTCGTGCTCCACCCCTCCCCCCCCCCCAGCAACGAAACAAATTCCACCCTCTGATATCAAATGATTTTACTGTCTCGTATTAAAAAAATAAATTAAAAAAAAAGGCCATGCACACTCCTGTCATCCCGCTGCATTACAGGCGAGCAATAATTAATATTAATGAACACCTCACTATTTCATTTAAATATCCCCCCCTCCCTTTCATATTTCATGCGTTGGGGGTGACTTAGAAAGAAAAAGGGGGGTTGAATCATGCATGAGTGAGCAGAGGGTTTTATAGAGCCTGATGATGGCCGGACTGCAGCGGTCACGATCTGCCACGAGGCGGTGCTGCCTTTCATTTCCACCACAACTCAGGTCAAACTGAAGAGTTCATCTGGAAATAATCAAATGTATGAACCGTATTGTTGTAATACTAATGTGTGAATAGAACCAGGATAACCTCTGACCGCTCATGTCTCTCCACAGGAGCTTTGGCCAAGATGGATGTGTTCATGAAGGGGTTGTCTAAAGCTAAGGAGGGCATGGCTGTGGCTGCAGAGAAGACCAAGGAAGGAGTTGCAGTTGCAGCTGAAAAGACCAAGGAAGGAGTCATGTTTGTAGGTAAGACGGTGACACACTTCTGCTTGCAGGATATTTGCATGCAAACTATAAGACAAGCACTCGTGTAATGAGCAGGTTTCCCCTTCTGCGTGCAGGAGAAACACAGAAGAAATGCTTTTGGACGCGTCTTACAGCCCCTCGGGTCTTAATGAGTCAGAGGTCACTGAAAAGTCAAAGATTTAATATAAATCAATGTGAACGCAAATCTCAAACTGCATTGAGTTTAACAGGGCTTTTATTTTTGAAGTCCTGTGTGTGTGCAGCAGCTCAGTGTCATTTTGCTGTCAAAATACTGTATGCCATAATATACGGTATTATTTTTACATTATTAGTGTTTAGCATAAATCTTATATCCTTATATTCTGTTTCTTTTCATATGTCAAATGTTTGCTATTTTGGGGTGTAACTGGGACCTTGCACACAATTTTGTTCCACCTCATGTACCACATATAATGCAAATGACAATAAAGTAGATTGAACTTTGAAAATGTAAAATTGCCAATAAAACAAACGTATAAATACATTTGTATTTAAAAATTGATAAAAAAAAACAGGTGTAAAAGACCAAACCAATCTAATTGAACACCTACTGGAATCACCTTATTTGAGCATGTGGTGCCCAGTTTTAGGGAAGTACACAAGGAACTGTAAAAAAGTTAATTCAGAAGTGACTAAATGATTTAGGAGACATTTGTAGACAGATATAGACTTCTAAGTGTTTATTTACTGAGGTTAGTGGTAAAGCATTGAGCTTAGTTTATTTAAAACAGAACATTGTTTTTAACAATTGTAAATTCAATTAGCATATTCAAATTAAACACATAGATAAACACAGGGCAGCACATTTACTGAAACTTCTGCTGGACAAGCTGTAAAAGTCCAAGTTATGTTTTTTGTCATATGCAGGTTAACAGTACAATGAAATGCTTAGGATGAGAAGAAACGATTTGACTTCCTTAAATAATATTCAAAGAACAAACAAGAAATACTAAAGCACGCAATAAGGGTACAAAAATAAAGTACCAACAAGTGAAAAAGTAAATAATATTTACAACGTCCTAAAGAGAGATTGTAAACATCAACATGGTAAAATATACTGGTGCAGCAGGATGAATATGAATGAATATGTATTTCAAGGTAGTAATATAAAGTAAAAAGCACATGCTATATATTGCAAACAATTAACATACAGTATACTACACAGGTTGTGTGACAGTGACACCGAGATTGAATTAGGATGGTAAGGTAGATACATAGATACAGTATCACACATGATACAGCCTAGTATCATACATGATACAGCCTAGTATCTTACA